TAAAAAATTGCCTGTAGGTTTTAGCTAAATGTAAACTCACTCTGTTTTGTTAAGATTTATGTATTTTTATTTGAACGGCAGATTTTTATAGGGAGAAGAAGAGACAGAAATGTTTTCTGTCCACTGGTTCATTCTCCAAGTGACTGAAGTGGCGTAGGCCAGTCTGATATCAGGAGCCTGGAGCTTCTTCTAGGTCTCCCACCTGGATGCAGGAACCCAAAAACTTGGACCATCCTCCCCTGCTTTCCCAGTCCACTAGCAGGAAGCTGGATCGAAGTGGAACAGCCAGCACAGGAACTGGTGTCAGTATGAGCTGCTGGTGCTAGCAGGGGGAGGATAAGCTTGTTGAGCAACCACACTGGCCACTGAACCCACTCAGTTTTAAGTATTTACCTAATTTTATTATAGTTTCAAATTAAATGACTAGAAACTAGAAAATATTTCATTCCTTTATATAATTCCTGTTCAAACATCCTCAGTTGATTTTAGTAATAAAATTCACATTTGTGAACTAAATTTCTATTTTATAAACTTACTGTGATACTGTAGTCTTACCTAATTTGCAAAATAGCTTCATCCTTCTTTCTTTGTAATTGCTTAGGCTGTAGTGTTTAAAGAAAACATCTTCAAAGAAATATAACTGAAGTTTATTAAATCAAAGTTTCAGCTGCTATGAAAATTTTAGCCTGTCTCGTCCTCTCCGCTTCCGTAGTACTTTATTCTTCCAGATCTTGATCATTATACTAGTATATGTTCATATGAAATGTGAGACAATATAATGAAATTTTACATACATTGCATACACTATAAAATGTGGTAATGTTTAGTCCTCATTTTAACTTTGCCAGGTGTGTCCTGTCATTCCTGTTTTTACAGATTAAAGAAACATGTTTACAAAGATCTGAAAACCTGTGCAACATCATAAAGTAGTTATTCATGAAGCTTGATTTTAAACCCAATTCTTTTAGATTCTAAAACGAAATTGTAATATTTCTATCTAATTTGATCAAAATATGTTCATTTCTGTTTTAGTCTAGCAGATCTCCCATGCTTATTTGGCTTTCCTGTGGCCTTTTTCCAGAGACCTTACCTTACTCATAGTTACATCCTCCATGTCCGCTGGAGACCACAGTACTATTTGAATGGGTATTGAATGAGCAATAATTATATTACTGGTCCAGTAACAGTGAAGCATATGATAGAAAGTAATTTTTCAGGTTCAGGCAATTTCTAGATTTATTGCTTCATATAGTACCTCTTTGATGTATTGACACTTGCAGTTACATACACAGTTGCATATACATAAGTGTATACATGCATACTATTTCATCCAAATACCAGTCCCATAAAAGAGACAGCCCTTGCTCTTACTTTGTAGATTCAGAAAATCAAGGCCTGGAAAAAATGAAACTTGGCTCAAGATACAAGCGTTTAGAGGTCCAAGTCCAGATTTTCAGACTTTAAATCTAGTAATTAATAATCATCTACTGCAGGTTTTCTGTACTAGTGGAAACTTATACTTTACTTCTTGTTAAGTATTAGCTTACTAAGTAATAAATCTGTAGAACAAAGGTGGCCACAAACAAATTGTACTGAAGGAGGAAACCATGTTGTTGCAGTGATAATGGTGAGGGAACTTCAAGAGGCTCATTGGAAATTTTTGGCATAAAAATATTGAAATCTGTACATGGTCTTTGGTTTCTTAATTTGTTTAGACAGTTTATTTTTAGTTTACATAGTGGTCAAAGGCTCCAGTGATACTAGTATTTAACAAATATAAAGTAGGGCCTGGCATGATGGCTCAGTTAGCTAATCTACATCCCTCAAGCACTGGGATCCTATATGGGCACTGGTTTGTGTTCCAGCTGCTCTGCTTCCCATCTAGCTCTCTGTTTATGGCCTGGGAAAGCAGTAGAGGATGGCGCAAGTCCTTGGGACCCTGCACCCACATGGAAGACCTGGAAGAAGTGCCTGGCTTCAGATTGGCTCAACTCTGGCCATTGCAGCCATTTGGGGAGCTAGCCAGCAAATGGAAAATATTTCTGTCCCTCCCTATTTCTCTCTCTATCTTTCTCTCTCTCTCTCTCTTTCTCTCTCTCTCTCTCTGCAGGTCTGCCTTTCAAATAAATAAATAAATAAATAAATCTTTAAAGATAAATAAATAAAAAATAAAAAAGACCACTGGTCAGTAGGAAATAAGCAAGCACTGTAAACATTAATCATGTGAAAAGATGTCAGCTTCACTTACATAAAATAAATTTTTAAATAGTCGCAAAATTATTAAAACCGTAGAAGTATAGAGACCAACAGTGTGAGTTAGGGTAAAGTGTGAACTGTCATTGAAGACTCTTTAGCCTGTGCTACTATAAACATAATAAAAGATATTTTGTAGAAAAGTATACCATTCATACCTACAGATATATTTTGAAGTTTTACCTCCTGCTTATGACTTTTTTTCTGAAAGAGAATTGTTGAAACATAATTCACATACAATTACCAACTAAAGTTCAGCCATTCAGGAGTTCATAGTTGATTCACATTTAGATAGCATTGCCACAATTTCATCACCTGAGAGAAACTCATAGCACATTGGCAGACACTTCCCATTTCTCTTCAACAAATCTGCTTTCTGTTCTTACATGTATACCTATTCCAGACATTTCACAGGATGGGATTTTTTGTTATAGTGGCCAATGTTGTGGTATGGTAAGCTAAGCTGCCACCTGGCAGTGTCACATCATATATGGGTGCCAGTTAAGTTTGCATCCTTCCACCTTCCAATCCAGCTTCCTGCTTAAGCACTTGGGAAAACAGCAGAAGATTGCCAAGTAGTTAATTGCCAAGTAATTGCCCCTGTACTCATATCAGACATGAATGAAGCTCCTGGCTCTTGGTTTCGGCTTGGCCAATGTCTGGCTATTGTGATCATTTGAGAGTGAACCAGCTGATGGAAAAATCTCTCCCTCTCTGTAATTCTGCCTTTCAAGTAAATAAAATAAATCTTAATTTATTTATATATAAATTAAATTTATATTTATTTATATATATATACACACATACACATATATAATAAAAAGCCTGTGTTACTTCAAGAGCATCTTGTAGTAAAATAAAACTACCTTTTATTTTTGTTGCCATTGAACTTCTTAAAGTGCATTTATAGTAAGTACTACATCTCTTTTTATTGTGTGGGTATGTCACATTTTTTGTTACTTAGATATACCAATATTTTCTGTATTCATTTGTCAGTTCATAGATATTTAGTTTGATTTATAGTGATTTAAAGTAAAAACACTTAAATCTGTAATAGGAAATATAACATAAAATATGTTTACCATACATACCTTAAACATTACAATTCTGATCTTCAATGGCCATATATTTTTATTCAGTAGGACATTTCCTAATTGATCTGTGTCTTAGGTCTATGTGTCAGTGTGGGTTATTAATATTGATTACATAGTTGAGAAGGATGTATACCCGTGTGGGCCTCTGATTAGGGTTGGAGGGGTAGTCAAGATGTGGAAGAAGGGGGTCATGAATGCTTTATTATTTTTTTTCTCCAGTGTCCACTGTGGGTGGGGGAGAAAGTGGGGGGTCGCTCCTTGCTGTTGAACTACATCAGCACCTGGGTATGAGGGATGGCCATTTGATGACACCTTAGAGACTCCAACGTGAAGAGAGGAGTGTTCTGAGAATGTTTCTTGCGTGGCTTTGATAGTTTTGAGATGTTGTAGGATTACTTGCACTAGGGTTAAGAATATCTTTTTATTGGCTAACAAGATATCAACAGACCCAGTCACTTTTTGAAAATTTGACCAGGAGTGTTGTCCAACCTATTCTGTTTTCCATCCTCTGAAAAGTCACCTGACATCCCTGCTGGCCTAGATGAGCTGTCTACCATGTACCTCTTTGCATCTGGGTATGCTCTCCCTTGCACAGACATCAACAGCTAAGAAGGCCCAATTGCAGTACATGTACTCCAAGGTCCAACTGCATAACTTGTGATTTTTCCATGTCGCTAGGGTTGGAGTCCAGCCATCCAGTTGGCAAGTCCCCCAAGAATCCTCACCTGGGAGGTCTTCAGACTGGATTCCTGAGTGCATCAGCCAGTTGCAGGGTCAGGTTGATTTATCTCCTGCACCAGCCATCTCCTGTACTAGTGGCTGCAGCTGACTGGTCAGTGTTGCCCCAGCTCTAACTCATGTGAACCAATGGGTGCTGTGGTCCAGTTGGGGTACCCACAGCAAACCCCACCAGGCTCACCCCAGCTCCAGTTTTTGCGTGTGCTGGCAAGTGCTGTGTATAGCACAACTTGACCTGCCCTAGCCCTCACTTGCAGTGCTGAGGTGTAGTCATGCATGGCCTACATGCTGTTCCGGCTCTCATGCCACCAGCAGTAGTCCAGCAGAGGAGTTCCCCAAGATCCCCTACCAAGCTCTCCTCCAACCCTGGATATTGTGTGTGGTAGCAGATTGCAGCTCAGACATGCATGACCCATCCCAGTTTTGGTATTTACCAGTGGGTGGTGCTGCAGCCCAGCTCAATTGGGCCCGCCCCCATCCCCAGCTCTTATTTTTTTTCTAACAATGTTAAAAGGACTATGAAAGATTAAAACAAAAATCAATTTTGAATGGATCATATATCTAATGTTAAAGTATGAAATAGAAGAACATTAGATCTTATAGTTTATCAGGATTTTAAGGTTACTGGTACTTGATATCTTTCCTGTGTGAACAAATTGCCTCCAAATTTGAGTTTGGAAAATCACTGGATTAATGATTTGGAAAAGGCGTACGAAACTACGTGGCTTTAAATTTTCTATTTCATGTTTTTGTATTTATATGTAAATCAGTGACTTTTTGATTATAAGAGAAAAATAATTCAGAAACATTATACAAACAGTATGTAGGGTGTCATTACCATGATTATTCCTCATTTGGTTTTAGAGTACAAAATAAGTATAAATTTCTGGATTTTTTGTTTGTTTCCTCTAATAGCTCCTCAAGACTGATATATGAAATGGCAGAGAATGGAAAAAATTGTGACCAGAGACGAATGGCAATGAGCAAGGAACAACAAAATGGAAATTTCACAGGTAAAGTCTGGTATTTTGGAGGGAAACAATATATTGGTTTAAGTGATCTATTTTTAGTTAGAATTAAACTTCTAACATTTTATTAATATCTTTAGAGTAAAGTGAATTATGAGTCATGACCTATAAGATTATTTTTTGTGGGGACTACAAATAACAGTTTGTTAGGCATAAGATTATTTCTTGCTAATCTTATGGTATGGTTAAGTATTTGCTTGGTTTTGTTCAGTGCTTAGTTTTATTCTGCTGCTTTTTAACTTAAGAAGTAAACATGAAAGAATTTTTTTGGTAGTTTGCATGCATGATATTGTTAAATATTGTCAAAGTAACTGTAGATTCATGTTTTATAAATTATTAGACTTTTTGGTTTAACTTTTTAAATGAGTTGGAATTTGTGGTTATATTTTATCATTTATGACATACATTTGTCCTGAAAACCATGGCTTTTATTCTTTTTTATTTAAATTTTTTTCTTTTTAATATTGTTTAAATAATTCAGAGGGATATATGCGCGCATGAGCCTCCAGGTAGAGTGGGAAGGGTCAGGTATGGAGGAAGGTGCATAGGACAGATGTTTCAGTTTTTCTTTTTTCTCCTGCGTCCTAGGGGAGGAGGGGTGGGAGGCCGCTCCTTGCTATCAGACCACATCAGCACCTGGTATGGGGAACAGTCATTTTATGATACCTTAGAGACCCTGATATGGCAAAGACTGTTCCAAGAGTGTTACTTGAGTGAATTTTTTTCTTTTTATAATTTTTGTTGTGTTAAAATTTATTTATTTTTATTGGAAAGGCATATTTACAAAGAGGGGAGAAAGATCTTTCATTGCTGGTTCACTCCCCAAGTGGCTGCAATAGTTGGAGCTGAGCCAACCCGAAGCTAGGACCTGGAACTTTTTCCAGGTCTCCCACATGGGTGCAGGGTGCTAAGGTTTTGGCCCATCCTCCCATCTTCTGCTTTCGCAGGCCACAACATGGAACTGAATGGGAAGTGGAGCAGCCAGGGCACCAAACCACTGCCCATATGGGATCCTGGCATGTACAATACGAGGATTTAGCCATGCTAGGCTCATTTGAGTGGTTTTCATAATTCTGAGAAATTGTTGGTTTTGTTGTTCTAGAGTTGAGAAAATCTTTACAAGGTCTATTGGTTGACAAAATCCACCTTAGTACATCCACAGACCCAGGTACATGCTGCTAGTTTGGCCAAGAGAATTATCCAACATGTTCTGACTTCCATCCTCTGATGAGGCAGTTGATGACCTCTGCTATCCTAGATGAACTGGCCATCATGTCCCCCATGTGCATCTGCACATGCTCTCAATTACACAGGTCTCAGCAACTAAAGATACCCAGTCCCAACACATTCACTCCAAGGTTGGACATTATATATTATGATTTTTTCCTTGATCAGGGAATTCAGTCCAACATTCCAGGTTGGGCGTCCCCCAGAAAACCTCACCTGAGATGGCCTCAGACTTGACTCTCGTGTGTACCAGCCAGTGGAGGGTCTGGTTCAATCTGTCACCGTACCAGCCAACATACATACCCACAGTTGCAACTGCCTGGTCATTTCCACCCCATATCTCACGCAAACTGATGGGTGCTGTGGCCCAGCTCAGGCAGTTCACCACAGACCCAGGTTTTTACACATATAAGCAGGTCCCATGGCCAATTGGGGTGACCCACCAGGCTCAGGCCCCAGTCCTGGTGTTTGCCATGCCAGCCTCTGCTGCAACCTAGCTCAGGCTAACCCAACCTGCATCTCATCCAGCTTTGGGGCCACCCACAGATCGTGCATCTTAGCTCAGCCCAACCTATTCGTAGAACTCACCCAAACATATGCCAACAGGTGCCACCGCCTTGTCCAGCTGGCCTGCCCCTAGCCGGTGTTCACCAATAGAAGAACATCTTAGCAAAACAGTACCCATGGTTCCGCAGCCAAGCATGCTCCCAACACCAGATCCTGCGCTTGCCAGGAAGTAATATGGTCCAATCTGATGTGACTCAAACCCAATCCTGGCACTGGCCAGTTGGTGCTGACCTAGCCCAGTTGATCCACACCAGTTTTGTTTCTCATGTGGGCCAGCTGGTGTGACAGCCTAGTTCAGCCTGGTCTATCCCCAGACCGTTACATACCCTGTCCCAGCTCTCATGCTCACCAGTGGAATTAGTGGCCCAGCAAGGGAGTCCCCAGAGTTTCCCTATGAGGCCCATTCCCTGCCCCGCATCTCTTGGATGACAGCAGGTGTTAAAGCTCAGTCTGAGATGGCCTACCCCTAGTCTCAGCATTCTCTAGCAGGCATTACAGCCTGGTTCAGCCCAGCCTGCCCCCAGTCCTAGCTCTTGCAGGTGGGTATAGCAGCCTAGTCTAGCCGGTACCAGCCCTAGCCCTCATGCACCTCTAGACCCAGCTTATATATATGTCAACAGGTGCTGCAGCTCAGTCTGGCCTGCCCAAGATGCTAGGCCACAGGCCCCCAACTCTCATACTCAGCAACAGGGGCTTCAGCCTAGCAGGGGAGTTTCTCGTTTGCCTATCTGAGATGAACTGCTCCCTTTCCTATGTGGCAGCAGGCACTGTGCCCCAGCCCAATATGGCCAGCCCATAGTCTTACCCAGTGACAGATAATATGGCCAGCCAACTGGCTCACACCCATTCTGGTTCTCACCTGTGGATGCTACAGCCCTAACCCAGCCTGGCTCACCCCCACACCCAGCTCTCGTGTGACTTGATGGGTATTGCGGCTTAACCTGGCCTATCCCACACCTATTCTGGCTCTCACAAGTGCCAGCACGTGCTGGAACCTAACCCATTCTGGCCTGCCCCCAAACCCAGCCCATACATATGCCAGTCTTGCCCAGTCCAATCTGCCCCTAGCCCTTGCACTCACCTGTGGGAGCTGCAGCCCAGCAGAAAAGTCAACAGATTTTCCCTACCAGGTCTGTTCCCAGCCCCAGATCTTGCACATACTGGTGGGTACTCCAGTCCTGCCTGACATGGTCCACCTGCAGTCTCAGCTCTCACTGGTGCGTATTGTAGCCTAGCCTAGCCCAGTCTGCCCCCAATCCCACCCAGCCCACAAAAATGCTAAAGAGTGTTACAGCTTTGCTTGATTTGGCCTGGCTTTCCCCTAGCCCCAGCTCTTGTGCTTCCTAGCAGAAGCTGCAACCTAACAGGGCAGTTCCCCAAGTTCCCCTACCAGGCTGGCTCCCAGCTCTGGATCTCATTCCAGCAGATTCTGTGGCCCTGTTTGACATGTTCTGCCCTAAGTCCAGGCTCTTGTATCTGCCAGTGGATACTGTAACCTCGCCCAGCCTGGCCCCTTCCCAGTAAGTGTCATGTGAGTTCTACAATCCAAACTGACTCAGCCCATTACCACCCATAGCTCTCTGCACAAATGAGCAGGTACTGCAATCGTACAGAGGCAAGCCTATAAGTCCCTTATAGAATCTTCCTCCAGGGCCCGGCGCGGTGGCGCAAGTGGTTAAAGGTCCTCGCCTTGCATGCCCGGGATCCCATATGGGCGCCGGTTCTAATCCCGGCAGCCCCGCTTCCCTTCCAGCTCCCTGCCTGTGGCCCGGGAAAGCAGTCGAGGACGGCCCAGAGCCTTGGGACCCTGCACCCGCGTGGGAGACCCGGAAGAGTCTCCTGGCTTCGGATCGGCATAGCATAGGCCCGTTGCGCTCACTTGGGGAGTGAATCATCGGACGGAAGATCTTCCTCTCTGTCTCTCCTCTCTGTACATCCGCCTTTCCAATAAAAAAATAATAAAAATAAATCTTTAAAAAAAAAAAAAAAAAGAAAAAGAAAAAAAAGAATCTTCCTCCAGATCTACTCTCTCACATTCTGGTGGGTTCTGTAGCCCAGCCTGACATGGCCTACCCGCTACTCTAACACCCTTGTGCTTCTACACGGCCACACCCTGTCCTAACTCTCTTCTGTGCCAGTGGGTAATGTGGCCTAGCCCAGCCAGACGTATCCCTAAGCCCAAGGTTTCCTGTGCAGCAGCAGGTGATAGACGATGCTATTTAGTTCAGCCCAGGTCTCCCACAAGAGCATCTCCCAAGTGTGCTCTCCTGTTACCCCCTCTGAACCACTCTGCCTCAGTTTTCTCACCTACCTATAAGTGCAGTGGCCTGTTCTGTGGAAGACTCCAGAAATCATTCCTCCCTTGTCAAATATGCCCTCAGCTGCTTCCACTCCAACGTGTCCCCAGACTCCCTTCCCTGGGCAATCTGCAGCGCCCCTGCCTGAGGGCCAACGTCCCATGTCCCAGCCTGGCATTCTCTGCCTTCCCCACGTGTCTTTAAAAAATAATAAAATAGGCAATTGTGTTGGCACGCTGGTATAGTTAACACAGATATGGCACTAACCACGCCCAGAATGCCCACTAGGTATTAGTTGCTTCTCTGCCAGCAATCCAGGCAGTTGCCTAGAGCTTGGGAGAATTTAAAATTAGTGTTAGCATATCATAGTCTTTTGTACCATGTGTTTTATTGAATACTTCATAGAGATTTTACTGTAACTATATGAGGAATTTATTCTTTGTTGTGGCTTGTTAGTATTTCATTCCATTATGTGGGTGTACTATATATTTGTGTTTATTCTCTGCCTTGTGTTATATTTAAATGGTTCATGCTGTTTCGGTATCATAAATGTTGTTGCATTAGACTTTACAGAACATGTTGACTTGTACCTAATGACACTTAGAAATGGAATTATTGGGTTGCAGTGTACTACATCTGTAATTTTTAGATGGAAAACAGTAATAGCTAACTAATTGGGCAGTTACTCAATGTCACAATCTTCTGAGAACTTTACATGTATTAGCTTGTCTAATCCTCATAAATGATTCTGAAAAATACATGCTTTTGCTACTCCCATTTCACAGAAGGGAAAACTTAACACACAAAACTGTTAGGCACCTTGCCAGAGATATCATGACTGATAGCACAGGCAGGATCTGCTACAGAGTGGCTTGCTCCCCACCTTTTGAGATCTAAACCGTTTTGCTATACAGTATTTTGCTTGATCGACATGCTCCCCTTCATAAAAGGTAGAGTCATTTCGATTTATTTTGATAATATGCAAGAATGGAAGCCTGTGTTCTGACTGCAGGATACTATCATAGTAAGTTGAGGCAGAAGCACCCAGCCCAGACTTGTGATTTTCCCAAATCTATATTTCTCTTGAATTCAATCACTGGAGTTTTCAGTTCCTTTTCTTTAGGATATCCTAACTAGTGTCAGGTCAGGGAGTTTGGGAAGGGCTGAACTATTTTGTTTATTTCCTCTTGCCTCAGTTCTCTAAGTAATCTGCTTTCTGAGTCACAAAATGTACTAGATCTGGCAGAGTCTGAATTACTAGTCATTTTCCAAAACTTTAGGATTTCTGTTAATGCATGATAGGGATAAGGGAAACATCCTGTTTACACATTTAGATGTTGCATCATCTATCTCCAAGGTTGTTTCAAAGAATACTCTGTAAGAGTGCCACCTATATAAAGGGAAGAGATCATCAAATATGCAAGCAAATGAAGCTAGATTGAGGCTTGAGCTATGAGGACCTAGCGGAATCCTTGACTTTCTGCTACAGATTTCAAGTGCACTTGTTATGTGCACCTGGCTATTTAGAGTTTTCTTCCTGTGATTACTGGAACTGTTTGTGACCCAGGACTGAATCACTTCATTTGTTATTTTTATGGTTTATAGTCATTCTTTCAGATATAAGATGGCAAGGTAGATGAATCTTGAAAGGGATGGCAAAAAGCGTAAGTACTAGAAATTCTATTTTAATCCCTGGTTGTTGTTTTTCAGATCCTTCTTCAATGAATGAAAAGAAAAGGAGGGATCGGGAAGAAAGGCAAAATATTGTCCTTTGGAGACAGCCGCTTACTACCTTGCAGTATTTTTCTCTGGAAGTCCTTATAATCTTAAAGGAATGGACCTCAAAGTAAAGTTTTCCATTATGTTTGATACAAATCTTATTTTCTATTTTTAAAATCCTCAGCACTCTCCTTGCCATCTGCTCCATTCAAAATGGAATCATTTTTAACAAATGGAATCATTAAATTTAGAATATTGTCATATGAGCATATTTATTCTCCTTTCTACAAAAAAAAAAAAAAAGAGGTTAAGGAAGCATTGCTGATTGTTTACTGAGTTATTGGAATTACCCACGTGTTGAATCTTTTGTATAGCAGACAATACTATAGTTTTCCTCCTGGTTTTTTTCTCTGGGGATATCAGACCTTCTTTGTATTAAGTATTTTGCTTCCTCAACAGGACGAGGTTCAGGATATGTGGCATTTTTATTAGAGGTTTGAAGAAATGAGAAAGGTTCTGCCATATAAATCTGTTCTGTCTTTAAATTATCATCTTAGCGTCCTGTTCCAGATGTAAAGAACAAGTTGAACTTTTACACGCTTTATCAGTCTTCTTGATTGCTCTCCCAAGTTATTTTATATTTCGGAATTTTATTGCTCTTGGAATTTACAAAATGTTTTGTATTTCTCAGTTCATTTACTCCTTATAACATCTCCTTAAAGAAGGTAAAACAAAGATACAATTACTATGATTTAAAAAAAAATAGGTTTGGTTAAGTGTCCTGTTTGAAGTACAACACTGGGAGTGTCTGACTTGAAGACCCAGAGCTCTTTCTATTACAGTGTTTTTATTACACTTTCCAAATTACAGGTTGGGAGGTGAGAAAGGTCAGGCCTTAGGTGAGGGAAAGACTATGATGGCATTTATGGTGAAGAAACTGGCTTCTGTGCCCATGTGTCATTAACCCACTTCTGCATTCCCAAGAGGCAATGACGTTTCGGGACAAAAGAGCTTGGCTCAGAAACACACACTCTGTAGCTGAGTTAGCTAGATAACCGTATCTGCTTCAAGAAGACATTGCTGTGAGCATGATGTATCTTCAAAGTGAGACTGAGATATATGTTTAAATTTTCTATAATTTGTTTTTAAGATTATGGCATCGTCAAAGCATTGTGGTGTCTTTTTTACTGCTGCTTGCTGTGCTTATAGCTACGTATTATGTTGAAGGAGCACATCAACAGGTAAGGGGTTCACTGGTTGTTGTGTACTATCTAATCCCAAACAGTTTCAAAATGGAAACAAAGGCTTTGTAGTATTTCTACCCTAAACATTTTTGGGTTAGTCTTTTAATCTCATATCTGGTACCTTTGTGTTAATCCTAAAACGATACACTAAAAATGCTCGCAGAGCATTTCATGACCACTCACTTTTATGTTTGTTATATGTTATTCTTTTATGCTTTCAAAAATTTAAATGCAACACTCCTGACCCTGTTCTATTAAACAACATGAAGCCTTTAGTTAATATCAAAATTCTCCTGTCTTACATAATTTTGTGATCATCCAAACAGGTCTCATCCTAAGTTAAGGGTTAGGTTTTATTTGTATAAAAAAATCTTTTGCCTGTATTTCACAACATCACTAATGGGAAAATAAGATACTTGCTTAACACCTTTTGTTAAAATAGCAAAACATTAATTTTTTAAAGGGTGTGGTTCTAAAACAGTGTTTCATTTCTTATAGTAAAGCAGTTTATTTCTAATCTGAGAAAGTTTTACAGTATATTCCTTTTATACAACGTATGCGTACTTCTAGGAGTTTGCAGTGAGCTAGCATGTTCATTTTACTTGGGAACAGTTGAGATATTTCTCTAGCAGTAAATCTGAAATTCTACTAAGTCTGTCTCCCAGTAGACTTCAGTTTGAAACTATCATGATCTTAAATAGACCAGCATTTTACTCCCGTTTTTTTTTCCATTGTTGGAGAATTATGAATGTACTTTTGTTACAAGTGTTATATGAATAAATACCTCTGTTAACCAATGTGTATTGTCATGCCTATTTGTAATTTGCTTTTTTCTTATTTCTTTTTTTTTTAAGATTTATTTTTTATTATTTTGAAAAGCAGAGTTAACAGTGGGGAGGAAGAGAAAAAGAGGAATCTTTGATCTGCTGATTCACTCCCCAGATGGCTGCAGTAGTTATGGCTGGGCCCAGGCCAAAGCTAGAGATCAAAAGCTTCATCCGGTAGCAAGGGCCCAAGGACTTCAGCTGTCCTTGCTTCTTCCCCAGGCCATTAGCAGGGAGCTGGATCAGAAGTGAGGCCTCTGGGGCTTAAATAGACCCCTTTATGAGGTGCTAGTGATGCTGGCCCCATTTACCTATGTTTTCCTATGTTTTAAATAGTAAGACTTGAGGGCCCGGTGCCATAGCATAGTGGTTGAAGTCCCAGCCTCACACATGCCCAGGATCCAGTATGGGCACTGGTTCTAATCCCGGTGACTCTGCTTATAGCCTGAGAAAGCAGTTGAAGACGGTCCAAGGCCTTGGGACCCTGCACCTGTGTGGGAGACCTGGATGAGCTCCTGGCTCCTGGCTTCGAATTGGCTCAGCTCTGGCTGTTGCTGTCACTTGGGGAGTGAACCATTGGATGGAAGATCCTCCTCTCTGTCTTTCCTCTTCTATATATCTGCCTTTCCAATAAAAATAAATATTTAAAATAAATAAATAAATAGTAAGACTTTAAATGTTTAGGAACAAGAGATTTTTTCCAATTAGATAAATTATTTCCATTTCTGTTATCACATGAAGAAATTAGGCCTCTACAAGGGGTCTTTATTTTTAATGCATTATTTTATTTGGAACTTATTTTAGTTGTTTTGTCTTATTTTGCTGTTCATATATGTACACTATCTTTCTGGAATGAGAAATCAAAATTATTACCTCATTTCTTGTTTTTCAGTATGTGCAACGTATAGAGAAGCAGTTTCTCCTGTATGCCTACTGGATAGGCTTGGGAATACTGTCTTCTGTCGGACTTGGAACAGGGCTGCATACCTTCCTGCTTTACCTGGTAAGAATTACATTCCTGTAACAAGGAAAAATTAATTCTGCCTCTTTATTGGTGCTTTCAAATAAAATTAAGGTTCTAGAAATTAGATTTAAATGTCCTACTGTTTTGTAAGCATAGTGATCCTTAATAGGTACTTGAAGTTTCACTTAGATTTTTGTTTTGCTTTTTATTTTAAGATTGAGGACTTAAAAGAATGGGAAAAACAGCTCAACAAGTAAGGTTGTTTATTTAGATTTATCCAGCCAGGAAGTTTTTTTCCTCCAAGATTTTAGAATATTCTCTTCCCTTACCTAGGCAATTATGATTTTAGTAGTTTATGTTAATTTGCCTTTTAAAAAGTATTTTTTTGAAGGAGACCGAGAAAGCTCCCATTCTTGGTTTGCTCCCTAAATGCCTACAGTGTCTGGGTCTCTGCCCTTTGTATCAGTATTGGATTAGTGTAATGTGTTGAGGTTTTTCACAGATATATTTTAATTTTATTTTATTGCACTTTTAAAACTGTTTGAAGGATGGTATCTGTCATTATGCTCAGTGTTATAACTTACAGTAGTTCGGCAAGTATGAAGATATAATCAAGAAACATGTAATGGTGTAGTATTGCATGAATGGTATGGCTTTAAATGAAACTTTCTGTTTATATATGTAAATTATTATAAGTTAAGTTTATGACAGTAAGCTGAGGTCTAGGCTGCATCAGGTTATCAACTTACCAACATTTTGAGTAGCATATAGAATTCTTTAAAAATGGGGTCTGGCATGATGGCCTGGCGGCTAAAGTCCTCACCTTGAGTGCACCGGGATCCCATATGGGTGCCAGTTCTAATCTTGGCAACTCCACTTACCATCAGGCTCCCTGCTTGTGGCCTGGGAAAGCCATTGAGAACGGCCCAAAGCCTTGAGACCCTGTACCCATGTGGGGAGACCTGGAGGAGGTTCCTGGCTCCTGGCTCTGGATCGGCACAGCGCCGGCCATTGTGGTCACTTGGGGAGTGAATCATCGGGTGGAAGACCTTCCTCTCTGTAATTCCTCCTCTCTGTATGTCTGACTTTCCAATAAATAAATTTTTTTTAAAACTATAAGTGTGTAAAATAATGAGATATGCAGTTTATGAGTATATAATTCTGGTTACAATGTGGGAAAGTTAGATTGAAATTAGGAGATAAGATGAACATTCAAGATCATTCTTATTTTTTTTAATATCTTATTTTATTTATTTTTATTGTAAAGTCAGATATACAGAGAGGAGGAGAAACAGAGTGGAAGATGGTTCACTCCCCAAGTGGCTGCAAAGGCTGGAGCTGAGCCAATTCGAAGCCAGGAGCCAGGGGCTTCTTCCAGGTCTCCCCTGCAGGTGCAGGGTCCCAAGGCCTTGGGTTGTCCTCGACTGCTTTTCCAGGCCATAAGCAGGGAGCTGGATGGGAAGTAGAGCCACTAGGATTAGAACTGACGCCTGTATCGGTTCCCGGTGCGTACAAGGTGAGGACTTCAACCACTATGCTATCACACCAAGCCCAATTGTCCTTATTTTTAAAGAGGATAGGAGAAATAGATATTCCATTTGTTGTATCACTGCCCAAATGGCCATAGTGGTCAAGGCTGAGCCAGGAGCTTCATCTGGGTCTGCCACGTGGGTTGTAGGAGCCCAGGTATTTGGGCCATCTTCTGCTTTCCCAGGTGTGTCAGCAGGGAGCTGGATCTCAAGTGAAGCGTTTAACACTCAAACTCACACCCACAAGGGATGCAATGTACAGTGTTAGCCCCATAAGAGACATTTCTGAGGTACAATCAAAAGGATGTGATGCGTTAGAATCAGGGAAGCAGCAACCAAAGATAACCTGGTCTTTGAGTTAGATAACTGCATTGATGGGGATGACACTAACTGAACAGAAACATGCCTACTTGTTCATACTCACTGAATGTTATAAATCCCTGCAAAGACAAACTTAAACGGATACTGAAGGTATTCTGCAAGGTGGGATGATGAGATAGTCACCTTGTCCGGGTGGTGCCAGTCGTGGGGTGGGAAAAGAGAAAGCAAGTTTGAAAGGACTAAAAACATGTTTTAAAAATTAGTAGGCATTTTTTTTAAAAGGATGTATGTATTTATTTGAAAAAAGGATGTGGATGGGGGAGAGGAAATCTTCCTTTGGGTGAATCTCTCCCCGGTAGCTGCATAAGCCAGGACTCGGACAGGCTGAAGCCAGGAGCCAGGGGCTTCTTCTGGGTCTCCTGCATGGCTGTAAGCACTAAGTCTCCAGGAACTTAGGCTTTCTTCCACCTCCTTTTCTAGACTATTAGCAGGGAGCTGAGCTGAGCTGGAAGTGAAACAGTCAAGACATGAGCTGGCAGTCACATGGGATGCTGGTATCAGCGGTGGTGGCTTTACCATCTTTGTCACAATGCAGGCCCTGATAGACATAAGTTTTTAAATTGTTTTAGCTGTATAGGGAAATTAAGCAAAAAGACAGAGTTCCCATGTTCCCATATAAGTTATAGCACCCACTCACCCCTAGTATCCCTGTTTTTGACTTTTCCTTTAATGGTAAATAATTGCAATTGAGGACCTGTTATTGATACATTACTAACTGAAGCTCATATTTTATGTTAGGTTTCATTCTTGTGTTGTACATTTTATTTAGGTCTTTTAAAATATTTACATATATTTATTTATGTTTTTATGTGTTTTGGTTTTTATTTGAAAGGCAGATTTACAGATATCCTATCTCCACTGGTTTGTCCCCCAAATGGCTGCAATGGCAAGGTCCAGGCCAATCCTGAGCTGGGAGCCAGGAATTTTATCCCTGTCTCCCATATGAGTACAGGGCCCAAAGACTTGAGCCTTCCTCTATTGCTTTCCCAGATGTATTAGCAGGGAGATAAATTTGAAGTGAAGCAGCTGGAACTTGAATCAGTCCTTGTCATAATACAAGCTCCAGTTTTGGATTTTTTTTTTAAGATCTTGTTAATTATTTGAAAGGAAGAGTTTGCAAGGCAGAAGGATAGAGAGGTCTTCCATCTGCTGCTTCATTCCCTAAATGGTGCACCAGCTGTGACTGGACCAAGCTGAGGCCAGGAGCCAGGAATTTACCATGATCTCCCATGTGTATAATTGGTCCAAGAACTTGAACCATCTTGTGCTGCTTTCCCTGACGTGTTATCAGGAAACTGGATCACAAGTTGAGCAGCTTTAACTTGAACTGAAACTCACCTGGGATGCTGGCACCACAGATGGTGTCTTAGTGTACTGAGCTGTAACACTGGGCCCAATTTTTGTTGATTTTTTCCATGTATAGTGTTATTACAGTGTACAGATTATCCTGAAAATGCCCTGTGCCCGACTTACCTATTCCTTCTCCCCTGTTTCTTCTCCCCTGCTCTCCCCTGCACCATGTCTAAATCCCTAGTAACAGATCCTTTTACTCTCTGTAATTTTTCTTTTTTTTATAATGTTACTTAGTTGGAATTGTAGAATATGTGTCCTTTTCTGATAATCTCTTTGACTTGACAACATACATTTAACATTTTTTCTATGTGGCTGATGACCTAATATTTTTTTTAATCACTGAATACTATTCATTGTGTGGATGAATGTCCACAGTTTGTTACTTTACTCACTAAATACACCTTAGTTGCTCCCGAGAATTGGTGATTATGAATAAAACTGCTGTCAACATTTGTGTGCACAAGGAGGTGGGTATTTGGCCTAGCAGTTAAAACGCTAGTTAGGTAGGCTGCATCCCATACTGTGCTGCCAAGGTTTGAGTCCTGACTCCACTGTGCATTTCAGCTTCCTGCTTTTGTACCTTCTGGTAAGCTACTTGAGTCCTTGTTTTCATGGGATACTCTGAGTTTTGGGCTGCTGGCATCAGTCTGGCCCAGGCTTAGTGTTTGTAAGCATTCAGGTTGTGAACAAAGAGATGAGATCTGTATCTTTATTTTTTTCTCTTGCTGTCTCTCTATCTCTTTCAAATCAATCAATAAATATTTTTTTGAAAAGAATAATCTGAGCCACTTTTCTGTTATCTTTTCTGTCTATATTTGACCTGCCAGTAGGTGGCGTTACTAATTCATTCAGTGCATTATATTTGCTAGTTCTGGATAAATGCATGTGTAGGGAGCTTTAATATAAAACCAAACCATCAAATATCTTTTGGAAACCTGCCCTATCATTTGTTGGTATTTATGTCTACCTAAGATACTTAATAAATGTAAATGTTTACTTTTGGGGGCTGGTGTTGTGGCATTGCACGTAAAGCTGCCACATGGCACCAGCATAGCATGTACCTGCGAGTTTGAGTTCTGGCTTCTCTCCTTCCTGTCCACCTACCTGCTAATGGACTAGGAGTATAGCAGCAGATGGTTCAAGTCCTGTGGCCTCTTAAACAATGTGGGTGACTTATCTGAACTTTCTGGGTTCAGCCTGGCCCAGTGCCCATTGCCACCATCTGAGGAGTAAACCAGTAGATAGAAAATCTGTTTATCTCTGCCTCTCCTTCTCTCTCTGTAACTTTTTTTTAAAGATTTATTTATATTTTACTGGAAAGTCAGATTTACAGGATGAAGGAGAGACAGAAAGAGATCTTTCATCCACTGGTTCACTCCCCAGGTGGCCACAGTAGCCAGAGCTGAACTTATCTGAAGTCAGGAGCCTTCATTCTTAACTTTGGAGGAAATAGAACAATAGATGATTTGAACATCTGGTGCAGTATTGCTAATTGTGTGATATCTTCAATTTTCAAATTTTTTTACCTTTTTTTTTTTTCTAAATTTGAGAGGCAGAGCGTTCCCATCTGCTGTTTTCATTCCGCAGAGGCTGACAATGATTCGGGGTTAGAAAGGCTAGTAGTAAGGTTTTCTTTTCAGATTTCCCATTTGGTTGTGGAAAACTCAGAAGTGTGGGCCATCACCATGGCCTCCTGTGGCGTCTGCATTAGCAGGAGCTTGGAGTCAGACGCTGGAGCCAATAATCAAACCTAAACATTTTGTTGTGGAATGTAGG